CCGAGTGGCAATTGACTTAGTACCCGTCCTCAATCAATTGAGTAACAGTGGAGCTTTTGATGGTTACATTCCGTATGAGTATGCCATGGAAGACGTCCGCTTCTCTGTTATGACAGCTGCCTTGTCGTTCGATCTGCATAGGTGACGTTATAGGCGCACGGGAATTAATGAATTAGTATGATTGAGGTCAACAAGGTTATTTGCGCAGTCTTGTCCCGGCATCCGGTGGTGGGTTGGGTTGAGGGGTTCAATATTGAGAATACGCAGAGTAGGTGGGAGACAACGCTTGAGAATATGAAAACACTGTTTTCCCGTCAATAATTTGAACCGAGAAGTCAGAAACATGGGTCAACACAATGTATCCATGATCATTTTGCTCCACCTGTACATGTGCATACTGCAGTCAAAGTGATCTTTATAGTCAGTGAGATAACTGCGAGAGGAAGACAAGGTCGCTAATCACAACGGGCAATACCACACAATGAGAGGGTGTGTGTGTGGGGGGGGGGCAATCAGCAAGGCAAACCTAATGTGAATAACCATTCACATTTTTTGCATAGATCGGGTTTGAGAGTATGAATGGCTAGAGCCTCAGTAAATTTCAGTAGCTTTGTGTTTGTTGTGTTGTCAATGACCTGAAATGCTTTTGTTGGAGTGACAATGTTTTTGTTCGAATAAGTGTTGTGTTATCGAAAATCTAAGCCTTTCCGGATCATTCGATGACGTCATGGTCACAAACTTATCGTCCAGCGCTTTCTTAAGCCACACCGGGATGTGTTCGGCCATCCGGTGACAACTGGCTCTCTGTCCTGCGTATGTAGATAACCGAACATCCACACTTGAATTGGTAAATGCAGTTTGATTTGGCAGAGGGGGGAAATGGTTCTTTCACTGATGTTGATAGTATCCGGGTGGTAGTGAAGACAATGACTGGGTCAGCTGCGTAATAAACCCGTTTGATAACTAGTTCACACACGTCATCGCCTTTGTATACTACCTTCAAAAAAGTTTTCATTTTGGGGACAGTTATTTCGTTTACTATTTCTGGTGCTACTTTACTATGCTTAGCGATAAATGCACCTGGATATCCACTTCCTTGTAGTACTTCTTGTAAGAGGTCGCTTTAATCGTTTAAGGAATCCTCTGTGCATACTTCACGAGCACGTGCACAGCTGCAGCGAAATGACCATGAATACCTTATGCAAATCCTTGTTTCACGCTTCTCTGTCCAAATTTATGACGGGAAAACAGTGTTTNTCCATATGCAGAGAATCTCGAATGTATTGACAGCTATCCGTAGTGCTCACACTGTGTAAAATAAATTCGGGGTCTTTATTTAACTGTCAAACAGCATACGATAATTGCGTGATGTTTACTATTTCTATTCGTTCAACGGTTGCCTTAGTGATCGATATGACGTCGTCACTGTACGTCCTTTTCAAAGTGCATCGGACCGCAAATGACAGTTAATTTCTCAAAGTTTATTTGTGCAATCCCTTGCGGAATTCGGATTCAATCAACTTCATATAGAACTGAAGAAAGATATTTTGAAATACGCATCGAACTGTCGAGTGAAATAAATCCTGGTGAACGGATAATATTGGCATTTTTGAGAAAATCGTATCACAAGAATCGAGCAATGGGAAAAAACCCAATTAAAATTTGAATATATTATTGCTGCTCAACCTTCCGAATGATGTGATATGAGGAAAATAGTCATCAAACAAGCTAAATCGGTGAATAATTTAGTTATTCAAAGAAAATGAGCGTCGGTAAGACCTCTCACTGGGGAACAATCAGTAAAATCACGAGTTTAGCTTGTTGAAAATATGTCATGTATGGTAAATTTGAAAGATAAACTACAATAGACCGAAACAAAGATAGCTAGTTTACCGATTAACAAGTAAAATACATGCCCACGCATTTGTTGCTACGCTCAAATTCACAATATAGATCAATCCAAGAATATCCACATTCTAACATGATCTGTAATTGTAAATAAAATACCCCCTTCAAAAAACAGATATCATTTTATCTTCTTGTTAATAATGTGGGCGGATGAACAGTCGGTTCCATGTGCTTTCCCAGTGTGTCACAGTTCTTAGCCTATCTCAGTTTTAAACTAATCGAAAAGTGATATTCATCCCAATTTCCTTAGTTACGTTTACACTCACATGCCAGTTCTGTCTTTTTCCTATGTTCTCTATCCAAACCTCCCCTCCCTTTTTTATTATCGTTATTATTGTTTTGGCGTTAGCTCCATGCTTGTCCGCAAGCCGGTGTTAAGTATATATACTACTAAACGATGTTCTGATGTTCCCTAGCAAAGATCCTTCTTGTAGTTGCCTGTTTGATAAAGATACTGTTTTTATCATAATGAAATTAGTGTGATGGCTTACGTGCCTCCATGACCCTGTGAGCTGCACAGGATGGCTTTTCACAGCCGTAGATCCTATCATGCCTGAAAGGACTCTCATGAAATAAGTGGTCAGGTTGTGGTTGTTTCCAACCGAGCCATAACCTCGGAGGCCAGTGCTGAGATGAGCGTGGTCCGTGGCCTGCCACAAGCTCGCAAAGAAGGATTATGCTATATCTTGTAAATGTAAAATGTAAAACGGTCTGATCAGCTGCCCGGTGGTCGAGTGGTTAGCATGCTTGCGTTCTGCCTGTGAGGTCCCGGGTTCGATCCCCAGTTGGGTCGATGGGTTCGCACAGAGACCCAACCAGGTCGAAACAGCTGTCCAGTGCTTCCTGGCTTTTCATTTCACGCTTCATTTGCCATATACACGATGAATTTACCCTTTGAAATTGTGATTTCGCCGGATCTTTGAACTGGTCAACTGTTCGCACATGTGACATGACCAGTTAAAATGATAACCTTAGTGCGTTTAGTACGACTGGCATGAATTGACTGAGCGAGATTTACTAGAGCATCATTCGTGATTACTGGAATTGGCCCAATACAAGTTTACCGATGAACTAGAGTATGAAAGAACTACTTTCTAATCATTAAAATAGAAGGGAGTGAATCAAATCAATGTGTGGACCCCACAGTTACTGAGGATGCTACTGTCGAGACATTCACAAACTTGCTGCGAATCACGGTAAGTAAGCATTTCTGTTGTTTGCACGGATCACCTTTAGCGAACGCTGTTCTCTCGCTTACCTCACCCAATTTCCACTCGATTTACAACTGGATGGAATCACACGGGAAAGAGTACAACAGATGTTAGATTGCGCCATTTCATTTGAACTGTGGTTACGGAAAGTATTAGCCCTACGAAAGCGTTTGGAGGAAATATCCGAGCGATCTGCTACTGCGCATTACTGTGTGCATCATAGATGGTGGTCTGGGTGTGACTTGATTGGTCGATTGCTGAGCTGTCTGACCACCCACCAGATCGAATGAACAAACAACAGTTCAGGAACATAACAGTAAAGGACCGCCGATGCGTTTGTTCCCAATTATTCTATTAATCCTCATGTACGCATGCCTTTATCTCTGATTTTAGTTTTTCTACCTACGTGGTTGAGTTTTATTTCTCTTTCTATTCCTCTCTCGTTTTACCCCTTGGGGCTAAACAAGGAAGTATGACGTGATCGATAAGGAAACGGTCCATGCGTGACAGGAAAACAATATGCCTACTCATGCGCCAAAACCTAACCGATCACAACAACGATCCCCAGTTTAAGGGGCAACTGGCTGGAACCAGGGCGTTCACATGGGGGTATTGAATCATATATTTTAGGGCCACTGCAAGGAAGCGTAACCGTAGGGATGCACGCCGCTTCATAGCATACAATATGGGTGAACGAAAGAGTGACGCAAACGCCCGTACACGATTTTATCAATAAGGGCACCGCTCATACAATTCCTCGAGGAGTGGGATAAGAACAACACGGAGTTATATGAAAAAGGCGAATTGTAGACTGTAGAGTATTGATCTGTTTTAATCAAACAGACAAAACATATTTCGATATATAATATAACTAAAACTCTATTCTTTCTCACTTGAAACAGGCCATTATTCTGAGTATATCCATACCAATTCGTTATATTGTTGGGAGATTTATAGTTTTGTCAAAAGTATTCATCTAAGTGATAACTCGGGAACCAAACTGATCATTGTGGGCCATCCACTATTTTTTATTCTGTTGTTAAAATTCATGAGTAATCTACATACAACCTCTGTGTACCCATAAAATTATTATGACATGGTTATGCTATTCACATAAGACACATAAAGGAAAAGGGTTGCAAGTACGGTGGGGGGACATGAGGGCACAAACAATGATCGTTAAGATTGAAAAGTTTATGGAAGAATCCACGGTTTTCTTACAAGAATGGAGGACTGATTTTGTATTTTCTATAATTACTACTAACCGCGGTCTTTTGCTGATTCTATTCATACAATTCAGTTCTTCACTAACAAAGTACACGAAACTTCAGTGTCATTTGTCCATAATGTGGAAGCAAAACCTCTGGGCTGAAAAGCTTCAGAATCAATGTTCGGATAAATGATTGATCAGGCCTAACAGTATAATTCGTCGATCTTACAAATCTACGATTTGGTGGTCATTCTAAACTCTGTGTGTACACTCCGTTGATTGTATTCACCATCATTTCGAGGTCGCTAAGCATCTTCGTCCAATTTTTTTCAGCTTTGTTGATTTGTGCTTTTCTCGAATAAATTATCTGATATGGGTTAAATCCTATCGGATCAACTCACGGATTTCTGGAACGGAACTCATATTGGCCGGATTGATTCGTCCCGTATACTTCAGATCAGGAATTCGTAGTTAAATGGTGGGAGGGGTTGGAACAGAAAAAAAGGGAGATAAAGGTGATTCACTTATTGTGTTCTTAGTATGTGTTGTTGGGTGACAAAACAGTTACAAAAAATGATGATTATTGGAACTACTCGATGAAACACATACAAATACACATGCATGTGGACAACAACATTTGGACGACGAATTGACGAGATACGTAAATGGATTCATGCCCAGAACGTCGAGAACTCCGATGTGAGTGAGCCTACCCGTTCGGGCCAGTGTCCTCGATGCCGATCCCGATTTCGGTTCGCGTTAGAGTTGGGTGGCTTTTGGCAAGCCAATGGGGATTCGGGCCATCTTGACGAGGGGCGATCATAATATCGAATGCCCAGTTCACGTGTCAATGGACGGGAGCAATTACTTGGACGTGAAGTTCGATGCGGACTGGTACTTCGACTCCGTGGAGGAGGAAACCGATACCGACCATCTGGACCAGTGTAGTCACCGGAACTAAACCGTGCACTTAATAGTCGTGCACTGTCTGGACCAACAGAATCTGCATAAGGACCCCCACGTTTCTCGTCGTTGGAGGATGAGGAAAAGGCGGTGATTATGGGGCCCGGGCCAACACTTCCGAACTCCCGATAAATTTTACCACCAAAACGTCTTTGTGTCCGTGGACCACCTAGTTTAGTGTAAATAGGTGCCCAGCGTGATCCGGCGTCGGGCCAAGCACTGAGACTACGCGCACTAGGACGTGTATCATACGGAGCACCTAGGTCACACAAATTTGCGGAGCGAGGTTGTAAGATTCGACCATATTCATCACGGTATCGGGAACGAGAAGGGTAGCCAGAACCGACCGGCTCGTCATAGTTCGGGAGTGAACGTATATCCCAGCTGCTTTTAGCCGCACCCCGCGGCCTCCATCGTTTAGCGGGTATACGATGGTTTAGGTTATACAGAGATGAGGCACGCAGCCATGAATAACGACTGAATGGAGCTTCACTGGACCAAGCACTATTATCCGAATTGTCCTCTTCCTCATCCGGACAGATATGGTCCGGTGGAAATACACCTGGGGGACCTAATCGTGGTTCGTAATCGTCGGACATGGAACGAGTCTGACGCCAGGATTTGCGTGAATATCGTCCTCGATGAGTTCTCGTAGGAGAACGATTTGCCATTGCTGGAGTTCGTACACGTGGGCCACTAAAGCCCGAAGGCCAAGGCCAAGGGGCCGGTGATCGAGCGCTACGAGAACGCGTGCTTATTCCGCGTAGACTGTCCACACTATAACCAGGCCATGTCATTTCTGGCGAGGAGGTAATTGCAGCACGTTCACGTGACTCTTCAAGACGATGCCGCATCAACAGAGCCTAGGGTAAAGAGAAGAATTTTATGCAGATTTAATGAAATAATATATCTCTACACTAATACTGAAATTTATGTGTGCAGGAAAGCAGACGAAAGAAGAGTAGCTCTTTCAAACTGCATTGCATACAAAATTAGGCAAAAATTTATATTCTCAAGTACTCTTATAATTTTTCATTGTAATTCATGACATTTTTAGCTAATCTCTAAGGGTTACTAATTATCATTTGCATAATTATACATATCACTTATATCTGCTCTAATCGAGACCGATAATTGATTGCTAAAAGGTACTGCTTTGGGAACAAAGATCAGCCGATTGGAATACAAACCAGATGGAAGGAAACTTATTTTTGGCATCAGGATGGGCCGCATTGCATGCCCGGCTTGTCAGTAAGGTCCCGAAAGGTGCTACACCCGGTTTTGGAGCGTTTGATCGCAAATGACTTTTCTTTGCGAGTAATTTACCGGACAATGCAATCCATAAGGGCTAATGAACTGGTCTACCTTTGGAAAATTACTGTCAAGATTTGTCTATGTCGTGATTGCAATGGATGGTGCTTACAAGTGATCTGTTCCCACTGGTCTCATCGTGCACGAGGTGTTTTCTCGTTATCCTCTACCTGCCCGATTCCTATGCTTATTAGGTTACGAACTAAACTAATTAGAATATGACGACTAAACTAGTAAACCCCTTCTCATTATCATCCTCATGGTAAGTCACTCCACAAACATAAATGAAAGTTTTTTTACGCATAACTCCGGTATTCACTGGAAACCCCAATAAAGATGTCACACAAATTAATTCCCTTTCGCCTGTTCGCCGAGCTTGGCAATTTGTTTGCAAACGTTTCATCACCAGCCGAGGTGATATCAGTGCCTGTGAAGTGGCAGTGTTCTGCTTGTACCCGTTCATTTATTTTTGTGTTCTTCTCCACCGACTGCTTTTGCTCTTTGTTCTCAGTGTTTCGACTCAAGAATCGAATGACTCAACAAAAATGGCCACGCCGTGACCTGGGAACTCACAGAAACCGCAGTCAGGACGGAAGGACAACCACCTCCCTTTCCACCCTCACCCCCGAGCACCAGTTCAACGGTGAACCGAGTCGAACACAGTGAGAACACAATATTTCAAATGTTTACCCTCCATCTCTCCCTGAAAACTAATACAAATGACGGTGCGAATTTCCCTCGGTTGATAATGTTTGGATGTGGTAGTGTGCATAAAGTTTCATTTTTGACATTCCCTGTGAAATGGTATTATGAATGTTCAAGTCAGTCATCATTAACGCGATGAGGACTGTTCACCTTATCATCGATATTGAGGCACTATAACTTGATGTATTTTTAATAAAAAGAAGTAGAGTTCCTGCGGGTAAAATGAATTATATATCTTTTTAAATGAAAAATTCCCATTGCCACATTATATATCTTGGTTTATATGGGTAGTTTCTTTTCACTGTAAAATTGATTGGTTCGCATCTCCCCCGTTTGGTCGATACTCTTGATCCACGAGTGGTTGTTGGATCACGAGTTTACCTACTTCACTGGATATAATTTACTTTGCCATTGTCAACTGTCCAACGCTATACAACTTGATTAAAATATTCTGTAATTTTTCCCTCGTTTGAGCTCTATTCGGCACAGAAAACTATTTGAGATCACTTTTAGGCATTAACTTAAAAAGATCGACTAGTGCACAGTAACAATTAAATCCAGCATGCTCATCAGGCGCAGCTCCACCAGTTGGGCAAAAGTACATCAGCAGGAAAGCTCTTTGAAAAAACATGCTTACTGTGCTTCAATAAGTTAAAGAGATGCTTTCCGAGGTAGGGGACACCGCAAGCTAATTGAGGGAGGGAGTATAGTTTCCGTTTAAGGTAGGGGAAATTGCATGGTTGAGAATATAACACCAGCTTGTTTGTCATTATTCCTCCAAATGGGAAAAGATTAATTACTTTGAGGATAAAGAGCCGCTGATGGGGAGTAACCATATTGGGTTATGCCAATGATTGATCTCCTATGTTTGCGGAAGCTTTGATAAAATGCTGCGTTTGATGAAATCACATCAGAAAGCTTTTGAACCGCTCGAATCAGACCCCCTTGCTTATTAAGACCTGAATGGAATTGTGCGCAGCACAGGCTCTATAAACACATCGTTTCCGCTAGAGCAGGTTTATTTAATGAAACCATAGTGTTTCAAAGAGATGCGGAGTTTAACAGTTTCAGTTTGTTTCAGTTTCTACAACCATGCACTATCGTGCGCCGGTTTTGGTTGCTGTCTTTTGGCGGCCCATTTGGATGAACATAAGGAGAAAGACAGGAAAGGCTGAAAGTAGGATCGAAGAGAAAATTTAGGAATTCATTGCACTAATTTTGCAGAGAAATCGACAAGATGCACGAACGTCACTGTTTACGACACCCAGCCATATCACTTAGTGTCTCTAACCATCGGGTAGGATCATCCCGAGGTCTCCATCCAGGACCTGTGTGACCCAGACTCCTGGTTAGGATTTTCATACCCTCACTCCAGGTCTCAGCTTGACCACCCTTGGCTTTCTTCCACCCACTACCTGCCTCGGCGAACATCGCTCGCCATGGCAACCTATTTGGTGACATGCGTAACACATGCCCTAACCAAAGTAATCTATGGAGGTCGATCACCTGCTCCAGTGGGTGAACGCATTTATCTAAAACTCTGTGCCTAACCTCAGCATTGCTCGTCCGGTCACCCCACCAGATTTGTGCAATGCTGCGTAGACAGCGGTGTTTGAACACCAACAGTCTATCTTTATCCTGTATTCTTAATGACCATGTTTCTGCGTCGTATAGCAGAACTGACCGGACTACCGCAGCATACACTCGACCCTTGACAGATAGCCGGATGTTGCGACGGGGTCACAGATGTCTCAAATTCGCAAATGCCAATTGAGCCTTCTGTTTGCGAGCTGACACTTCATCCGTGATGTGTGTGAGATGTAGCTGCCCAGATAACAAAACTTATCCACTTGCTCTATTACTTCTCCAGTTAGAGTGAGGCTCGGTGCTGGACAGACCAAGTCTTGAAGT